CTGATTTTGTACAGTAGAGCATCGTTGCTTTTCCGGAAATTCAAGGGCCAGTGTAGACAGCTCGCAGCTTATTCTGGAAAAGCGGCTGATTTTCCGGAATAAGTGGCCCAGTGTAGACACAGCCCCTATGTATGTATATTATTACTGTTTATTGATACAACCTTATAGGCGTAACTGGCCCTTTACAAATATGTAAGTATTCAGATCCCTGTTCCAAAATCTTGTTAGACAACTAAACTATACAGAACAGAACATCCTTTCTATAGATGCTCAGATTCTATGGTAATGAGGGTCACATAAATATAGGGATTAGCTTAAGAGAGAGCCTTTCCTATTTACATGTTGTTTGTGATGACACACTCCCCAGTGTAAAGGATATGAAGCCTAGTAGATCTGTAAAATAATCAGATCACAAATCAGAGTTCTTAACCAAAGAACAACTCACAGATGGATTTACAGTTCATTGCAGGTGCCATGCTACGCAGTCAGATGTCCATAACTGGAATAGGAAAACCAATGCCAAAGATATTAGTCAAGCTGTATTTTAAAGAGCCTCCTTCATCTCTACAGCTACTTCCTCTCAAGAAAGGGCAAAGCATGTTGGCAGTGCATGTGCATTTAAACACCCAATTTTGTCTTGGAGCCTTACTGAGATTTGTGGAAAGTAGGAAACTTGTTTATTTCTACTAAGAGGATTAGTGCCCAAATGAAATCAGTCAAAATAAAAGAACATTCATAATGCAATAGCACAATAATAATGTTGTTTGTAAAATGAATCACTTTGCTACCAGACCACACCTCTCAGAGAAATTCAACTACGTCATGTCCTAGGTTACCAAATTATTTTTTTAATGAAAGCACTACAAAAAACTCCAAACCTTGGCACCTAAAGATAGGCTCCTAAAGCCAATGCAGGCATTGGATTATAAATAACTGACTTTGAAAAGTCCTGAACACCCACAAATCCTATTATCTTTAATAGGAAGTGCATGTGATCAGTACATTAGAAAATCAGGCCATTTTTACTGATGGGCCTACACATGGATTTAGAAGCCTAGCTTTAGCTATCCATTTTTTAAAATATTGACATACATATCTGCTAAATTCAATGTCTATCTCCATACTGCATGTGTATCTAAACTCCCAATTTCCTCTTTGAGGAAAAGCAAGTCAAGTGTAAAGTCTATGTTGCATTCTTTGAAGATGATCTCCTTGATTGTTTCAAAATTCTCGCAGGAAAATGAAAGGTAGTAAGCATTCCTAGAACATTACTTACCACAATTAGATGCCAATTTTTGTTACTGGAGAGGAAAGGGTAATTAATTGGTGGTCTCCAGGTTTTTTCCTGTCAGTAGATGCTATTCTGGGCAAAAGTTCAGCTCCACTGGAGTGCTGTGGTGTTAGGCCTAATGCTGAGTATCACTGATTTTACTTTTCAGAATATGCTCAAGGTGAGATGCACATAGGGGCTAAAGAAGAGTAGCATAAGAGATGACCTCCTGTGACTAGCTGTCACCATTATACCATTTGTTAGGATGACCTGGTACCACTAGGGGACAAATTGCTGTTTGGTTATTCATTCCTGCATGGTTCCACACCACCAACAATTTAGGATTGGAATTTTTGCTCTTCAATGTATTCTTTCACTTTAGTGTTTTCTAATATTCCATGGCAAAAATCTGGAGTCATCATGGCTTGTTACGCCTACCTTAGACAATCTGGTTCTTGCCTGTCAGTCAAGCAGGACCGTAGTAGTGGCAGCATCAGTTGAGGCTTGTGGGGTAGCTTGGCAGTGGCATATAAGCCTATTTAGTTCTTGTTGGAAAATCATCACCATTTGTCAAAAAGTGCAGGTGAAAGAGAATTGGAATTATGCAAAGTGCAAATAAACACACTTAATGATACCATAAAGCTCAGCTAGGAGGAGCCTTGATAAACATATTATAAAACATAAGTTCAGTGGGTCAGGAATGGCACAGGAACTATCCATTTTCTGGATCTCCAACCTAAAGCATCATGAGGTGGAGAAAGTCAACCACAGGAACAGAACAGAGGAAAATTCCGTGATCTGGATCCATAAATGAATCTCCATTTATAACCAAGGTACACACCAAAACTGTAAAAAGGGGGCTGAGTCCATAAAACTAAAAGAAACAGGGAGAAGGCAGTGCCAGCATAAGGGCTCCAGAGCTGCACTAGTGGAAGAGAGAGTAAATAGCAGTCAGAAAAGTGAGTGAAAGAAGAAGCTCAAAGTACAAAAATCCAGTGTGTGTGTGTATATATATATATATATATATATATAAATCAGAAGTAAAATATAGAGTAGCATGAAAAGGGGGAGGAGAAGGTTCAAAAAATGTGGGAGAAACAGAGAAAAGAGTAGTACAATGGGCAAAAGCAGAACATAGCACTATTCAGAGAGGGAGTATCAGAATCTTCTCTTTAATTTTTAAGAACATAAGAATGGCCATATTGGGTCTGACCAAATGTCCATCCAGACCAGCATCCTGTCTTCTGACAGTGGCCAATGCCAAATGTGCCAGAGTGAATGTACAGAACAGGTAACTATCAAGTGATCCATCCCCTGCCACCCATTCGCAGCGCAGACAAACAGAGGCTAGGGATATCATTTCTTGATTTATAAAAATGCATCCTCCTTAAAGGATGCATCTAGGCCATCCACACAATATTTAAAAGACAAAAATGTCAGTTAATGTAACTAAGGGTACATCTACACTAGCCCCCTAGTTTGAACTAGGGAGGCTAATGAGGGTGACCGAAATTGCAAATGAAGCGTGGGATATTTAAATCCCGCGCTTCATTTGCATGTTCCCGGGCGGTCGCCATTTTGGAAACTGACTAGTCCGGAATGACTGCCAGCATCTACATGCGGCAGAGAAGCGCAATTCCAAGATAAACCCCTTAGTTCGAATAAACAGTTAATCTCGGAATCGCGCTTCTCTGCCGCGTGTAGACGCGGGCAGTCAGTCCGGGCTAGTCAGTTTCAAAAATGGCGACCGCCCGTGAACATGCTAATGAAGCGTGGGATATTTAAATCCCACGCTTCATTTGCAATTTCGGTCACACTCATTAGTCTCCCCTAGTTCGAACTAGGGGGCTAGTGTAGACGTACCCTAAGAGATTAACCCCCCAAAGTTCTTAAAAAATGCTCCTTTGGCCTAATCACTAAACTATAACCTGAAGATTAATAGATGTGGACCAAAGACGGAAGTGAATTTCAACATCCAGAAATGTCAGATGCAATGATTCCAGAAGCACTCTAAGCCCTTGATCACAGAGCAGTCGCAACACACTATTAAGAGAGTGCAACAGAAGAAAAGGTTAAACAGGATTCAGTACTGGTCTACAGTGGCAATTTTCTTAAAATGTCTTGTTATCACACTAGCAACTATGCCAGTTATTAACATTAATAACAACTGCGGAAGTGCTGATGGAGGTCAGCTGCTTGCATTCGAATCACCATCATCTCGCTTCGTAGGCAGAGTAGATCTAGACAACATGGTGGTTAAAATGTCAGTGGCTGCTAGCAGCAACGCTGGGGTATAAGTCAATGAAGGTCCTCCAGTGTTTGTTAGCAACAGGGAAAATAGGTTGAAATAATACAGAGGAGACAAGGCAAGAGAAAGATAATCCCTGTCCATTCACAGAAGATGACTGTCATGAGCAAGAACAGTAGGCCAGCTTTTCTGCTCCATCCATGAGCTTCTTCATGAGTACTCCACTTCTAAGACCATGAGGGTACCACATGTTCAATCTTTGGACTCTCTCCTGAAGCTCTTGTGCCAGTTAGTTGGGCAACATTTTGATACGGACACTGGGATCTAAGCTAAAACCTCATTTCTTCATACAAATCACTGGAGCTGTCAGCTTCGTTTGGGTCATTAGTGATCAGAGTTAGTAATTAAGAAGTGTTCAGCTCTGTATTTTATCACTAAATACATAAGTCAAACCAAGCTAATCAATCATTTCCTCCTCTTCCCATTCCCCCAACAGGTAATTATGTTGCTTTCCCTTTAATGGTGCTTATAGATATTACCTCACTGGTAAACACACAAAGCAAGAGGTGAAACATTTAACGACTATTCAAAACAACCAAATCAAAGTGGAGTGTTTGGCGACAGGGTTTAATATCAATACAGGTCCCTGTACAGTATAGAAAATTCACTAAGTGCACTGCTTCATTGTGGAGAGGGCAGACACTGAAAGTTATGTACACCAGCACTGAACCAAGGCTGGGAAGCTTTAACCCACAGCTGCCATTTACAGCAATGGAGCCTGATCAAAGATCTAAACCTAGGCTGTAACCAGAACTAGGTCCAGGGCCTGGCTTCCCTTCTAGCCTCCTTCCCCTTGCCTTGAAGCCAGGCAGAACAGCCTTCGCGTTGCACTGGGCTCTATCTCATGCAGAGCACCAGTGGGCACCCTTGTGAAATAAGTCGCACTGCGGAGACAGCCGGAGCCCCCCACACAGCTCGGGACGCCGTGACAGGCAGTGCCCCCTCTTCCCCCAGCCCCGCGGATAAATTGCAAGGCGTCGCTTCATCGATCCCACGGGCTCACCCTCCGCCCCCCGCTGCTGCTGCTGCCTGCCGGCCCTGGGAGGAGCTCCCAGGACCATGGACAGTGCAGCGGCCGTGGCGCACCCAGCCGCCCCACAGCCCTCCCTGCCCCGTTGC